AAGGTAAGTGTGGGAGTAGCAAGAAACAACAGAATAAGAATAAAACAAATAAGGTACCTACTGTGTGGCACAGGTAACTAATATTCAATATCTTGTAATAATCTATAATGAAAAAGAATATATATATATATATATATATATATATAACTGAATCACTATGCTGTACACTAGAAACTAACACAACATCGTAAATCAAATATACTTCAATTGAAACAAAAAGATAAAACCTGGCTCCATATTAATGCCTCTAAGTTTCTTCACTGAGTAGGTGAGCCACATTTTAAGTATATACAGCACTTCAAGTGTGTGTGTGTGTGCGTGTGTGCACTATATAAGATATATGGAACATTTAAAGTATATATAGTATATATGTTTAAGTATATACAATTGACTTCTTCCCTTAACCCATTATGTAGCTCACATATCAAGGCTAAATTATATTTCCATGTTTTTGATTACTATTTACCCGTATGTTTAAAGTCTTTAACAGCTAGTGGCAAACCAATAGTAAATAATTTTTTAATCTTAACCCAAAGTAAAAGAATAGATGCACAAATATCGTGTAGGCTTCTGTTTTTACAAAGGCTTATTGGCAACACTCAATTTAAAGTGTCCGTAGGTGGCCTTGGTCTCCCAGGCATGTGCTTACACAACCCTGTTTCAGTTAAATAGCTCAGTCTTCCTCATCTTCACCTTCACAGTCACATTCAGCCCATGTGAGCAAAGTACTGGTTCATTAACCTCATTGCACAGGCTGGATCATAAAAATGCACCTGCAACATTATAAAAACCTAAGTCAGCCAATGTGGCTAAAGGTCAATATAAAGTCACGCCTTCTTCTGGTCGCTCCCTCATAGGGTCCTTTATGAGCTGTAATTAACATGCAATGTTAAGACAGAGGACTCTCCAACCAGAAGTTTAAGGCAGTCTAAAGAACATGGACCTGGACTCAGACTAGCTCTGTGACTTCAGGCGTGTTAAATATTCCAAGTGTCAGCTTCCCCTTCTATGAAATAGTGAGTGTCATGTAATGTTCAGAAAGAGGCTATGTACATAAAGGGCCTGCCCTGTGCCTAGAAGACAGTAGTCGTTCAGTAAACAGTGCTAATGGGAGTAGTAATGCTTAGCAGTGGTGGGATCTATGTATCTATAGTGGTATAGACAGCTCTTTAGTTGTCTCTTTTTTTCATGTTTTAAATGCATTGCTTTATTTAATCCTCATGTGACTGAGAGGTAAGTAGGCATCATCATCATTCCCATTTTATAGATAGGTAAACTGAGGCTAAGTGAGGTTGAGTAACTCACTCACCACCACAAAGCTAGTAGTGATGGAGCCAGGGATTCAGACTCAGAATCTCAACCACTACACAAGAGCTCCAAGAGGCAGAACTTATACTGCCTGCGTCAGCAGTATCTGGAGTTCTTGTGTAAGATGCAGATCCTTCAGGCCCATTCCAGGCCTAAGGATCAGGATTTCTAGGAGTAGTGTCCAGAAATCACATTTTACCAGGTATCCAAGGTTATTCTCTAGAACACTGAAGTTTGACAAACATTCCACTCCCTCTATTATTCAAAATGACACTAACAGACTAATGTAACTGTCCAGGGCTCTAGGGGGAAAAACGATCAAGGTGGGAACATTAACTTTTCTTATCTTTAAGTGTTCTTGTTCAGAGCAACTAACTGTTGAATTGGTGGAGGTGAAACCTAGCTGCTACTTGTCTCAGTGCTACAGCTCTAATAAAGCTGGGCTGCTCCCCGCAGTGGGAACCCTGCGGCACCCCTGCTCTTGTGCCTGGAGCAGCTCTTCCTAGCTGACATGACTGACAGCAAAATGGTGAAGTGCAAGGAGCAACACCCATGGGTCCTGGGCTGCCAGCTCTGCCCGCTCACTCACTGTGTGAAAAAGGAAGAGTCACTGACATTCTCTGGGCCTCAATCTTGTTGTTTGTGAAACGGAGATGATAATGCTCCTGGTTGCCTTTTTATTGTTGTTGTTGGCCCAAAGTGCCTTTCCTCCATATTCTAATAACAACACCCCCACTTCTTTGGGTAACTGCCCCCCCTGATTCTACGTGGTTCTGGATGAAGTACCAATCACAGTTCCCTGTCCTCTCGACCGTAAGGAGGCACTTGGTGAGGGGAGGGGAACAGCTGGGACAAATGAGTAAAGCAGGATCAACCAGAGTCCTTCCTCAGGATTTTATGGAGAGATGTCGAGAGAGAAGGTGGCCAGGCTGGGCTGACGTAAGCTGAGAGCTGTCTGCAGCCCTGTGGCCCCTCACCTCCTGCAGGCAGGGAACACATCTTGAAGGGGAGAAAGTGGCCACACAGAGAGCAGCAAATCAGGAAGGGAGAGAGAGAGAAAACAAGAATATTTGTATTCCAGGATCCAGCTCTACTCCTGCATTTACCAGCTAAATAAGTTAATAAATTCCCTTTTTAGGCTTAAGCTAATTTGAATTGAGTTTCTGCCCTTTGCATTAAAAGATTCCTACCCAGTATAAATATACTAAATTTTTGAAGTTGTTTGTATTTGTTTGTTTTGTTAATATTTTGTTTTTGGTTTTCTTTTGCGTGTGTGTGTGTGTGTGTTGGGTTTTGGTTTTT